TCCTCTTGATTAGAACGGAAATCCTTAAGAACTTCCTTAGTGGATTTGTACACATCATATTGAATATAATAATAATAATAATAATAATAATGACTTATAATAATAATAATAATGACTTAAAATAATAATGAATTATAATAATAATGACTTATAATAATAATAATAATAATAATAATAGTGACTTTATTGGATCACACAATTATTGGTAGAACCAGTAGCTTTCATTGTGGTCCTCGCAAACAACTGAAATAAATGATTCAAATTGAAAATAACATTATTAAGAATCCCAACTGGCCGGAGGCAAACCAGTTGGCTATTTACAAGCATGGCCGAGGATTTGAACTCGGAGCTACCGTGAAACAAATCCAGGTAGTGGTGAAGGTGGGACTTGAACCCGGGAGCGGCGGATTGCGAGTTCGACACGCTGACCACTCGCGAACGGCCACACTGCCTCTCTCATGGACTGAAAGTTTCTTTTTGTTTATTTCGGTTTTATTTGATTCATCACTTCACGGGTTTATCACGAACCAACATAATGACTAAGAGGTCACGGGTTCAAATCCCGTACGGACCTGGATTTGTTTGCAGCATTATTTTCACTACTGCTTGAGTAGTGTTCGTTACTGTGAAGATGGGTTTTTTTATTCAGTTTTTTTTTTTTTTGTCGGCCAAAAGAGGAGCTTGTCTCTTGAGGTTGAATGCTTTTATTATTCGCAACTTTTAGACAACATTTTTTATTTGTATTTGAACCTACATTGCTTTAACAACATGAGCAGCTTGCTCTTTACTAAATTATTAAAAGTTAAGGAGCTCTTAGAATTGCAGTGCATAAGCGGACGAAACGAAATATTTATTTATTTGGAATCTAAACTAATCTGGTGAAGAATCTTTTTAAGGGCTTGCTTTGACACGACGATTTGATCTAGAAAAAAAAATCATTCAATCAGTAATAACATCAGCTCGTTTGTTTTTTACGTAATTAATGACTCATGCCGCCTTTTTTTTTTTTTTACTTTACACGAATTCTTCAAATAACTTTTGTAAGTCGCGTCATCACGTGAGGTTATAAGACCAGTCACGAACTTAAGTAATGCATCTTATGAGAATGACCATAGCGAAATTTCCAACTTGGGACTAGCACTTTGAACGGCATCAACTAAAAATCTTGTTTCGGTATGAAGTAAGGCTAAGATAACTTTTGTATGTCTAATTTGGTCATTTTGACAATACTTCGATTGAAGGGGACGAGATAGCAATCTCATTTCAAACAGACAGTGTATTAGATCACAAACGGATACTACAGAGTAGATTTGTGCACTGTTGCTCATTCTCTTGTGTTGATGCAAGTTAAGATCATTACTTACTCATGAGCTTATTGCGCCATTCAGTTGAGTAGACAGTTGTCCTTCCTTAACCACAGTGACTGCAATAGTAGGATGCTGATCCACCTCTGGGCATTGCTGAAGGTAGAGCTGTAAATGAATGAAAATCTTTCAATTCCAAATTTCCATTCGATCTGGAAACAGTGGACAAGAAGAGCCACTCAGTGGAATGTCCATTGCTAAATTATTTATTATTATTATTATTTATTATTAATTGGGTTCCTAAGATTGCTGACCTTTTAAACGTCCTTTGACCTTTCATAAAACTACTCCTTTTCGCCTAACAATGATTTCATAGTTAAGTGTAACCCCAGCTTTAAAATGTGCCCTGCCCCTGTGGCTTTGTAGCTCAGTTGGTTGTAGCGCCCAACTAATATCTGGGAGGCGAGGATTCAAATCCTGTGGAGGCCTGAATTTGTAGGCTCCTCTTTTGCAATTGCTTAAATTGCAGCTCACCCGCGAGGGTCATTACTTTACTTACATGAGCATAAATCAAGCCACTGTTCTTGTCTCCTACCCAGTCTTCTCCAACTCGTACAAACAAATGGTCTTCGGCATCCATCTTTCCGAAACGTACATCGACAAGGGTCACTGAGGTGATATCAATTATAAACTCAAATAAACAGGAACGAAATCAAATTCCTAGAAAATACTGGACCAGCACGAGGGCTACTTTAAGAGGAGCGGCACGGCAAGAGGATGATGTGATATGTGAGTGGTTACAACCATCACTCGGGATAAAAGTAGACAATAAAAGGAGCAAGTTAAGGCTGAAGGCCTGGGTTTACTTCACCCCGCTGACCTCTAGGGAAGCGTGAATATGCGGCTGCAAGCTTTGACTGGTTTTATTACTGCGTAACCTTGGTTTAAAACTGAGTACGTTCGAGTTTTTCCTTTAACAAATCTTTGTGTGTTAGGATGCAATCCAACAAAATCCAGGGATTATAACTTTAAGTTTTGAAACTGGATCGAAAATCACAACGATAAATGTACAAGATTAGAGACATTTATTGCTATGCGAGAAAGGGCAGCCGCAGACAATATAACATAGATACTATGAAGTTCTGCTTAGCACTGGAAAACCAATTTTAATCCTCAGAGCTTTGATGCATGGTATCCTTATATGCAAATGAACTGTAATATAGGATTTCGCTTCCGATCTAGTGTTATTATTATAATAATCTCAGACCTTCTTCAGAATTCATCCTTCGACTGCAGAGATCTGCTCCTTCTGCAACTTTCTTGAATTCCAGTCGAGGAGTCCTGGGTAATATGTTTGGTAAGTGTTAGATTCCTCACTGTTTCCCAGTCCTTTGGGTGTCTCCTCATTCGTTCATGCAATCTTTCATCCACAACTTCATTGATTTGAGTATTGATCAGGATTTATCAAATTAAGTTTAATTTGTTTACCTCTGCTAATTCATTAATTTCATGAATTCCGGCAATAGTTACTTTCCCTCCTTGGTAAGATATCACGCAAAGCTCTGACTAGAGATACCGCCGGACTATTTTACTTATTTAAAATGTTCCGTACTGTATATAAACACGAGATTATAGTTTATAATCTCTTGATAAAATGACTCGTGAGAAAACTTACAAATTGACAGTAAACATCATTTTTTTCTTCTGAAGTTGTCCAACAGTTAGAGCAATAGACTGTAAGAATAATGAATTCATTACAAAATGATTAATTACTTCTATCAAGTCACTGATCACCATGTAACAAAATGAAATGGTTAAATTCGATTCCAGCCTACCTCTTGTCTGGATGGTTTCCGCTTTTTAGCCTGATATGGGAAAAGATCGTACAGAGCATGGTTCTTTGTCTTCTCGCTTTCGTCTTAAGAGAAAAATAAAGCAGTTTTTTTTCAATGATCTACGGACACATAAAAAGACGGTCGCGGAATGTTGAAGAGGACTGACGCTCTTCAGTTCAAGTCTAATCTTAAGGAACCATGAATTACGGTCGAGTGGAGTTTTTAACTTATGCTTTCAGAAACATACTAGTACACCTTATATCGCGTTATTTAAAAAAAATAAACAGTCGAGGAAACAACTCTCAGGTCATTGGAAGATAAATTTCAGCTTCTTCGCGTTAGTCAATTAAATCAAATATTCTTATCCAGAGCGTTCTGAGATTTGTACACGCTGTTTCATCGACGAACATTTATTTATTAAAATTCATTGTTAAGTTCAACGCGCGCGCTGTTCATCTTTATTGTTGCGCAAACGCTTGGTTTAAATTCATATAGCGGTAAGAAATATCTCAATGTTTGTCGCGTAATATAGTTTTTTCAGTTGTCTAGTTTAGTACAGTTTAGTTCAGTTCAGTTCAACCAAGCTGACTAGTTACTTGCCAAATTCGGAAGCAGTCAAGAAGTAAGTTATTACAGTTAGTTTTCTGTTTGTTTCGAACACTTTTAAGACCGATTGCCAACGTGGTTTCCTTGCATTTTAGATCGAATTGTATTGTATTGCATCGTGTTTTAGATTGAATTGTGTGTGTTATCACATTAAATACGATTCTACTTCGTATTGGATCTTGGTCTTCTTTTCGACGGAACATACATGCCATGTCAACGTTCTTCAGAGCTTCAAGACGTACTACATATAAGACACAACCAAAACAGAGCAACAACTCACCGACAATGACCACAGTGAATCCTGATGTTCCACGCTCAGTCTTTGATGAGAGAAACGGAAATAAAGTTGGAATGGGAAATTCAAACTTTGAACGCTATGCTCGTGAGAGCGTGCAGTGGGCAGGAGCATTGTATACGCTAGCTTAACAATGAAGGGAGGAATATAGATCATGGAATTTGTGGATTTACTTGATATTTCAGTATTGAGACCAAGACCAGTCCGATGAATGAAATATGCGATGACAAAATAAAGAAAGTGCATATTTCATCTTGTCTCTTAGGACAGCCACCACGTTTGACATGATCTGACCATGTAACTAGCCTCTAAATTCTCTCTGGATCTCACGAAACGATAGCTTCCTGTATTAATGATGCGGATAACATTCAAGCCGGGAGATTCTTGCTGAAAGCCATTGCTGTTTTGAATTTTAAAGCATCTTGATAACATAGAGGACTGCAATGCTAGGAGAATACATCCAGAATCTTTCATCCGAAAAGTTAACGTTTCACTGAAGTTAGGAGCCAGGACTTGAAAGCTAAGGAGCGAGGAAGTATTTGCAATGTTGTTCGAGCCAATTATCCTTTCCTTATGCTGAGAACTTGCCTGTTTTCCTACCGCAAAGGAGCTTCCTAAGCGAGCTATTACACCGTTTGTTGTAACTCAGATAGAACTCAAGTTGTTTACCTGAAGCTCTTTGGCGTATTCAGTAGCTTTTTCAGCCTTCTTTCTATCTTTGTTAAACATACCATTCCACTAAAAACCAATAAAATGACATCATAATTCTTTATACTTCTTTGAATATAATTTTGCGGATGATACTTAGATCATAGGACTGGAGAAGACCAGGATTTTCAGACTAGAAAACATGCTTTTATGGAAATCCATTATCAATAACTTATTACACGACTCGGTCAGTCAGAGGGCTAATAACTAANAGCGTTAGCCCTTTGTCGGAGCTCCAACAAAGGGCTAACGCTCGAAATGTCAGCTTTTATAATCGTAACGGTGGCCAATTTACCATTTCAACTTTGTTGATATATTCAAATTACTTCGTTACCCCCACCGACGCAGCCCCAAACAGCTTTTTTAGAAACTATCAACCTCTATTCATTAATACTATGTAGGCTAAGGAGGTAAAGTGTCAAAACACCCAATGAGTTTGTCTCTGTTTCCACAACATGACGTGATCTGTAGTATTACTTCTCCCACAACCTCCCTGGATGGAATGCCTCTCCATCATAATTATATAATACCCTGAGGGATAGATGCTACACATTCATACAAATAACTAGGTCCATGCACCCTGGACCCCTTAAACTTGAGAGAATGACTTTGCCATAAACTACTCCTAAGCATCACATATATTGAGACTACAGTTTCAATGCTTAATAGTTAAAAAATAACAAGAAACATTTACCTCATTAAATATTGCACAATTGTCAAAGATTAATCGGCAATCACCAACAAACTCACTGAAGCTTTGGTAATGAGCAAAGTTTTGAGTTTGAAGCTTGGCACGAACATTTGACAGATCCATTGGCTTTGAAATAACTTTATAGTAATTAGGAACCTTTAAAAGAAATGACAAAAAGCAAGTTTAGGTAAATTTTAGTATATAGAAAATAGAAGAGCCTTTGTATTGAGACAAATCTCCCTAAAGTAACAAAGAAATGTACAGCTTCGAGTATTTACAATTGTATCAATTAGGGAGAGAAAGTTAAATCTTTAGTCCTAAAACTTAATGCAACAGTCAGTGGCCTTGACAAAACTCGAAGGGAACAGAGCCTATTGTTTACAGAACACAAGTACGAGAGGGAAGGAATAAGTACTGGCAAGTGAATCTGAGCTCACAGCAATATGCCAACTTCACTGATGTTCACCAATAATTATAATAATGCACACCAGCCAAATGATCACATCTTGTGTCTCTAGCTAATTTATAAAATAGTATTACTGCATGGTCTATGTTAAAATCTGTCACATACATCTGTCTGTTTCTAAGGCAAGGTAAATATTTAACCAGTGAATTGGAAAACAGCTACTACTAAAACAATTATTTTGAGTTAACAGTTATTTACCTTTAAGTAACAAATATATACACTAACCGATTTACTGACTCGTTGTTGAAATGGAATACTGTCTGTATGACAATACAGCTCGAGAAGAATCTTTTCACAAGCCTGAAGGGCAAAAAGAATCTGGCTTACTTTTAAACTCTCACACTAAGAGATAAATGAACAGACTGACCAAAAAAATCACATGAAAAAGGACTGACACATCCTGGGAGACCCAGGGGCTGTGAGTCAATTTCAAGTTAAGGGCAGAAGAGCCCCTGGGGACATTGTCTTACAAGACTAGTTCCAAATGGTCACAGTCGTTCTGTCATCTGATTGGTGCCAGAAAATCTTTGTGTTTTTCTGCCTAATCAGAGTGAAGTGTGCTTTAGAGTCCTTTCGTGTGTTTTAATATGCACATAGACAAGAAGCTCAGTTGCTCGCTTTGGTTGTTTGGGCCATGCGACAGAGCCTTGCTCTAGGTGTAAAGTATCAGTTTCAGCACACCATGTATGAGAAATCGATCAGATTATCCGCAAAAATCTCACTGGAAATTATACTGAATACTTTCGCAGGTAACACGAGAGAACGCATATAAAAGTTTGTGAAATTCGTATAAAACACTATGGTTGCAGGCTCATATGTCGCTTTAAACGTTAAATGAGACGTAAGCTTAAATCTCTCTAGATTTTTTGTACAATTTGCTGTGCCTGAAACTTTGCCAATCTCGCGAAGTTATTTCGTCACACAGGCCACACAGGTATGTCAAGCAACTGGCACTTATGCTTACGTAGCTTTCTGTGCGTGCCAAAATCTAATCTTTGCTTTGTAGTAAAGTCTTTCACAATACGGCCAAAGTTGCAGAGAACGTGAAGTTCGTGGACAACCTCCAGCAAGCGCTTACAGAAAGCTTAGCTGCGTTTTCGGTTAGCTAATTGAAATCTGAACAAAAACTAATTATTGAGAACATCGTGGGAAGGAGAGATGTTTTCAAACAGTTACCGAAGGGGTTTGGAAAGAGTTTAATCTTTCAACTGCTGCCTAGAGTGTTCAAATTATTAAGCTCGAAAGGCCATGGATTCTCTTCTACTCCCTTGGTCATAGTCATTTCACCTCATTTGTCGATTGTTGAAGACCAAGTTAAATACCTTTGATCATTGGGAATCGATGCTGCTTTCATTGGGGAAAACAAAACCAAAGACAAGGAAATATTGGATGGAAAGGGTGGGTTTGCTTTATTGAAACAGCTTATTACAGGGTTATGTACCCACATCTAATAAACAAAAGCTTCCACGCTTAGCTTTTCTTCTTTTTTTTTTCAGGCGAAGATTAGATTAGATTTTGGCGTGCACAGAAAGCTGCGTAAGCGCCAGTTGCTCGACATACCTGCATGGCCCTTGTGACAAAATAGCTTCACGGGATTGGAAAAGTTTCAGTTACAGCAAATTATACAAAAAATCTTGGAAGATTTAGGCTTACATCTCATCTAACGTTTAAAGCGACATATCAATGCCTGCAACCATTGTGTTTTATACGAACCTAGCAAACTTTTAAACAAGTTCTCTTGTGATACCTGCGAAAGTATTCAGTATAATTACAAGTAAGATTTTCATGGACAATCTGATCGATTTCTCTTACATTGTGTGCTGAGACTGAAACTTTTCACCACAAGCAAAGCTTCGTCGCAGGGCTCAAACAAACATAGTGAGCAACAGAGCTTCTTGTATATGTCCATATTAAAACACACGAAAGGACTCCAAAGCACACTTTACTCTGATTGGGTAGAAAAAAACAAAGATTTTCTGGCACCAATCAGATGACAGAACGACTGCGACCGTTTGGAACTAGTCTTGTAAGACAATGTCCCCAGGGGCTCTTCTGCCCTTAACTTGAAATTGACTCACAGCCCCTGGGTCTCTGAGGATGGGACTGACATGACATCAAGCTTAACATGGCTTACCAAGTTCTTTAATAAATATAATTATCAACTTAGGAACAGTTTGGAATTAACAATAAAATCTCATGACCTCCTAACAAAGATACATACTGTAATCTGTTGGGTTAATTAGCTTTCATATCTAAGAAGTTAGATGGGCTGACATTCACATTCATTCAGTGGGACAAGAAAACCTGTTACTTTTGGCTGTACGCAACTGAATAACATAATGAATGCCGAGGAAAATACAGTTTTGCTAACCACAACAAAGAAATCAGTTCGTGAGTGGTACTTTACTACTTACTACATTTCCTGTTCATTCTATAGCTACAATACAGTTGTACTTTAAAACCATTGCAATTCATTAAGTTTAAAAGACATTGTATAAATGCTGAAAGAGTTCTCTATTACTTAACCCAAGGTATTGAGAAAGTGCAACCTAAAACAAGGATTACCTTTCTCTCATACTCAGTCAGACCACTGCGAGAGGACCGTCTCTTATTGCCTGGCTGAACAATTTCCTTATCTTTTAGGCAAAAGGTAAAACAAGAAATTCAATATTAAGTAGTATTTGAGTTTCCTAATTCAAGAATGCAAAGTGTACATCAATAACATCTTAAATGCTTTTTATACAGGCTTATTTATTCATGAATTTGTAGTGTCTCTAATTATCTAATTATCAAAGATAAGTTAGAAAATTAAAGACAAACTTTTTACAACTTTTTTCCATATTTTCTTTTTTTAAATTTCATTACATTTTTCATACCTTTCTGTTTTAACGAACTCCAATCAACCTCCTGACATAAACCACAGCTCCAAGAGTCACTGTTTAAGATGAAAAATACTTCAATTTACATTTGTTCTTGAGAAATTTTTATCTCAGTAGCCTTAGCAGGTTAAATTTGAAAAATGCTGACTTTCCCTAAGTTCAATGTTATGGTCTAGCATTATGCTTAAAGCATTTAAGGGGTCAACTAAGCTGTGTCAAGGTTACAAAATAAATCAGATAGATTACCATGAAAAAGGACTGAGCAAGCAGAAAAAAGTTTGAAACTGACCAAGTCTGCAACTTCTTGATTCAATTTTGTACAATGAACTTGTTACAAACAAAGCAAAATTCACATCCTTACGAACAAACCTTGGAGTAGCAGAAAGGTAAGGTACATGACACTGTAAGTGGTACACTTTAGGGCATGTGTCGCAGCAAAGAAGTTCTCCACCATTGCGACACACTGCACACCAATCATCATTTGAACTGGTCTCCTCAATTCCACTCTCTCCACTGGTGGTGTCATCTTGTTGCTGCTGTGGGTTAAAAATGCCAAACATTAGCAGCAAATATATGTCACATCAGCAAGAAGGATTACCGGTAATAAGATGTCAAATATAAACAGTCTGCCATCCACTTTACTACAGAAGTTTCTCATGACATGCAAACTACTTCCCTACCTTCTTCATTGATTCATGACATGGGGAGAATTCTGAAGGGGATTCTGGTTTTTCCTGCTTGACCATGACTGGTGGTGGGGAGGAGGTTGCAACAGGGGATTCAACTGGATCAGGAATTCCCTGGGAACTATTGCTTCTCTTTTTCACTGGGAGCAATTTGGGAACCTGGGGAGAAACTCCAGGGTCAAACAATTCTTGAGAGCTGTGACTTCTCTTTAACACAGGAAGTAATCTGGGCACCTTTGAATCCCCAATACCAGTCGGAGAGGTTGCACCTGAAAAATTTAGTATCTGTTTTAAAAAACATCTTTTAATAAATAGGGGGTATTCCTTTGCCTCCATTATGTAAAATGTATCCATCTCAAGCTACTCCCAGCATAAGGCCATTTTCCTTGACAACTTGTTAAGACTTCTTTAGCTGTCTGCATGGGTCTACAGAGGCATTGCGGAAGACTAAAAGAGTTAGAGTATCTTAGAAGAAAAAGAGAAAAAAAACGTAGTATAGATGTTTATAGGATGGCTTATCTCTGAGTACACCATCTAGTTATTTCATTATTGCTAAGAAACATTTCATTCATTTTGGGTTTCTCTAATAAAGTAGAGAAATCATCTTATATGAAATCATTTAAAATAACACAAATGCATGAGAAAATAATAGCCTCTTTCCAGCTCACTATTACTAAAAAACATTTTATTCATTTTGTGCTTTAGCGAAATGCTAAATTGCTTTATTTAGCTACAGAAGCCGACTCATTGTTTCATCGAAAGAAACTGAAATAAGGCACTTGAATTTTACTTTCTGATTCCTAAGTTTTAAAGTTTTGCCTATCAATAAGGCATCTTTCTCCAGTTCCTCTTTACATAGCAAAAAAGACTTTAAACAAAAAAATCATTGTATAACGTTGAATGATTCTAAGAGAAGAATTTATGTGGTTCTCATTCTTTCTTGATTCCAATCTTATGTTTGGCTACCTTAAATTGAGCAAATTACTGCACCTAAAGTTTAAACATAACTGTTACTCAACTTCTTCAGGCCAAAATTTCTTAGGTTAGCTGTTCACTATTACAAGGTAAGGTTCCAGTCAAGTTAATATTGGAGAAAATGGAACAAGACATCGTCATCCAGTTTACAAGTTTAATCAATCAATATGTGACAACAGATAAATGTGGCATATGACTTAGTGCTTGATGAAGTATTTTGCAATCCTACAGCAAAACATATACTTTTTTCTCATACATCAATATGCTGCTTGATGGATGACACAATCTTTTCTCTTGATCCCATTCTCATACAATGGTACTGGATATAATTGTATTGTACTAGAAAATTCAAATTTAGTCATAGTTAAAATGATCTCTTATTTTTTTAAGTCAAGGTGAAATCAAGGTTTTGGGACAATTTTGCCAAACATAAAATCAGAATCAAGAAAGAACAAAATCAAGAGTTTTTATTCTTCTCTGGTAGCCTTTTAAAATACTTCAATGGCAAAGATTACGAGGTTTTCACACTTTTTGACTAGTAAAATTTTAATGTCAAGAAAATAAAAATGTTGTAGAGTCCAGTTATTTAAAAGATTGTCTGGTCGTATAACTCTTGACAACTATTACTATATTTATTTCATCTAAGGAAACAGTAAGAAAATCTTAATAATGATTCCTATTGCATGAGCTAAAGCAAAAGGGAAATGACTCCTTCCTTGTAGATTTGAATTCAAGAAATTGTCCTATTTAAAAATATAATCTTACAAGATTTGTTCCACAAGTCACAACAATGATACAAATCTGGAGCACAAATCTTCCAAATAAGTAACATTGCTTTGACTGCTGGAAACCCAACACATAAAAATACACCAATCCTCTCAAGCTAGGATTTTGAGTACATCTGTTTAAACAAAGTAAAATACCTCCCACCAAAATGGCAACATTTACCTCTATTTTAAATTCAACCTTTCAACACTGAAAAGGACATGAGATCCATTCCAAGTGATTTTAGAAATAATACAAATTATTTACATGCAAATGAATGTGATTAAATTTTAGAAACTACTTACAGGAAGAGGCAAGTCACTATAAAAAATAAGTCCATTAAAATAACTGGGATATCTCCTTTAGGTCTCAACCTTTACATACTGACCTAGGAGGACATGTTTGAACAAGCAGCTAGATTTTATTTCAACAGGCAACAAAAAAATAAAGTACAGATGAATTTAAAATGAATGGCTTTTAATTCCAAGTACCATAACATTTGGCACACAACAAAGAAACCTGATTACCCATGGCCTTTTCATGAAATGTGGAAAAATACAAATGTTTTCTGAACTACTAAAGGGGTGATACTGTTCATCTTTAAAAAAAAAAAAAAAAAAAAAAAAAAATACATTTACAGGCTAACAGAGATTAACTACATTACCTTTCAAGACTTGAGTTGATGCCTCACTGGCTGCTGGTTGGTCATCCCAACCATTTTGTTTCAATGAAGAAGCTGATGAGTCACTGAGCGGTGATGTGCTCTGGTGACTATGGTTGCTTCCAGTGCTGGGTGGTCTGGGTGGAGGAGATTTGATCACAATTTTACTACCAATATCCTGGAAATGCCGTAAAGGAAGGGTGTTACCATTTCGAATAGGGCGTGGGGGTGACAAGCGGGTGATACTTGACAAGTTACTGACGTTTGGGCTCCTCTGTCCGAAAGAAAAGCTGTTGGTGGAAATTCCAGTTCCTGGTTTCACAGTAAGGCTCCGTGTTGCAGATGGTAATGGCAAGCGAGACAAGCCATTTGCCGGCACCACGCCAACTTTGGCATTCATGTTGATGCCTGCACCAGATGGGTGAACTATAGCAGCCTGAAGGGAGGGGTACTTTGTAGGAAAGGTCTGGCTTCCTGGAGGTCCTAAGCGCTTATTGACCGCAGAAAGAGCTTCAATAGGATTGGGTCTTGAAGAACTGCTTGAACAAACCGGGCGATTTGACATAGCCATTGATACAGTGCTGTTTGACAGACCAGTGAAACTACCAGTATTGGACAATCCACGAAATGAATTGGTATTAGTTCTATCAGCTGGAGTCATAACACTTCCAAGTTTAGCAATCACAGCACAGAGCTTTTCCGTTTCAACAGAGAATTTCAAATCACTATGAGCTACAGGGAGTACATTGTATTTCAAGCTTAACAGATTTTGTATTCTTGAACTGAGCTGTCTTTTACTATACAACAGTCCCATGTCGCTACCATTCTTTAATACATGTCTGGTGAAGCCATAATTATGTTGAAGGATCTTTTGCATCAAGCGGAGATCTTTATTCTGCTTGGACAAAAGTTTGTGTTTAAAAAGTACAAGAGCTTTTAATTCTTGCAACAAAACGTTCTCTCTTTGTTTGACAGCTTTCACAAGCATTTCCGATGACTTTTTTATTTCAGATACAATGGTTTCCTCGCGTTCTTGTAAACCTTTCGCCGCTTTTTCAACTTCGCGAATTGAGTCAGTCAAAGGCTGCGCTTGTTCGTACAGTCGATTTAATTGTCCCCTTAGGTTATCCCTATAGTTCACTGCTGCCTCTTTTATGAACTGGTATTTATGATCTTTATGTTCAAGAAGCTGACAGTCCCTGCAAGTTAGTTTTTCGCAGTTAGCACAGAAGAGTTTAAGGGCTTCTTGAGGGTGTGTACCACAAAAAATCGGTTTCACGTCCGAGGACTCAGAGTTTTCCAAATACTCGGCCTCAGACTGTATTTTATGATCCTTCGTTACTCTCACACGCTGATGGGCAGAAACACACGCATCGCAGAGCCAATCGCTGCAGTTCAAACAAAAAGACGAAGCTGGACTGTTGTCTTCGCAAGAAGTGCAGAAACGGTTTACGTTTTCTTGGTTTCTTTGCAGTTTTCCCATGTTCTCTAAGACAAACTGGTTATCCAGGAAGCCTAGTACTCCTTTTGTAGGAACCAAAAACTCTTGACCACAATTTGGACATTTCAGTCTTGGGATCGAATTCGAAGATCTACTGGCAGAGGTCGAAGGGACTTTCTCTCGCTGTTGTTCGGCAAAACGTTCCTCCAAGCAATTTAAACAAAAAGAGTGAAGGCAAGGTAAAAGCTTCGGGCTTGTGTCTACCGGCGGCTTTTTACAAAGCCCACACAGCATAAAAACGGACTCTTCTTCTTGATCATCAGCGCTACCTGTAGCACTTCCTTCGCTCATTTTGGTGCCAGAGGAATCGTCTTAACTATAGTGCAAATGGCCCACCAACAACCACCGAGTCGCCTGTGCCTTACTCAAAATGGCGGGATAATGAACATGGCTTCCGCGCTTCCATTGACAAGAAATCATCCCGTGACGTCATCAGAGTAGCATTTCGCATTTATGAATATTTCACAACAAGTTCAATTCCTTTGTTGTTAGCTCAGATTCGCTCGTTTCGATTCAATTTTGTATCTTGATTTTATAAAGACTTACCGGGTACTTAAAAATCAGCGCCGAAAAATAGTTTGTGAGTTGAAAAAGATACAACTATAGACGATCAACCATGGGTCGAGACGGGGCGCGAACTCGAAAATACACGCAAAACAAGCAAAGACGGACATTAAAACAATGCGAATCTAATTGATCATGCATTCCACCGACACTTCCGACAAGTTATTGTCAAGTCCAATCGAGTGGATGACTGGAGGGTCAAAACCTTACTTGGTAAATAACAAACGCAGAACTTGCTTCCGCCTATTACGACAGGACACCCCAGACCACTGTCCCTCACACACGCATATACACACGCCCACCAGGAAAAGGCTTAAATATCTTTTGTTTCTTCCGCAATCTTTGAAAGTTTGCCTGTTGTTCAGACACAACTACAACAATACAGAAATTTTGAAAAAATATGGTTTTGATCGTCACTCATTGCAGGCTTTTTTTCGTCCGATAGTCTCTCCTTATTTGGTGCCTACATATTAAGTTTCAACATCGAGTACCCCTTCATTTTAGGGGTGGATTTAGAAGGGATCGTGAGAGATCGCCCCCTCCTTGTCTGGGATATAATTATCAATTTGTTTTCTTTCCATCTTATCATTTCTTAACTTGGCATTGCAGCCAAAACTGTCAAGACAAAACAGTTCCCGATAAATCATTCCTCCATCACATCAGGTTTCACTTTAGGCCACTGATTTCACAATAAAGGTAACGGTATTTAATGTGGTTGAGGAAAGAATCAAATTACATATAAACTTTGCAGAGACACTGCACTCTACAAAAATGCTCGGTTGTTTCATGAAGAATCAATGGATACATAGAGGCAGATGTGAAGATACAACATGTTATTTTTACGAGTGAAGATATCACGTTTTCGCGCGAAAGCTTACCTAGTATTTCATTGGCGTTTATATGATAAATTTCAAGAATACAGATCTTTTAATCGTGTCTTTTACGATTGGCGCAAAGGACTCTCCACCTTTCTTTTTCATTCTTTTTAATCTCTCTACTCTATTGTCATGTTACTTGAATCAAATTCACCTCACTCTGGGAAACTCTAGTCGACTGACCCTACCTATGATCGATCACTCTCTCTTTGTTTCTCACTCACTACTGAATGTACTGAATGTTTCCGATTAGTGGAATCATCGGCTGTCTGACAGTATAAACTACAACAACTTTAATTTTTAGGGTCCAGGGCAAGGTGAGTAGCCCGGTGTACCCTCGTGGAATTAGAACAACACTTCACCAGCTAGTAGAGCTGACTCAAAGGATCGCGGAAGAAAAATATCCAATAACTAGGTGGTGGAGCATTGAGAAGAATGAGAACACTTGTGGTCTTCAGCCCAATAGCATACCGCGGGGGAGGCCGGAGAGGAAAAAAATAACCTAACCTCCTCTTTTGAAACACATGGCCAGCTGCGCTGCTGGTCATGGCGAAGTGTATCCTGTGTTCTGATTGGCTACGAGAGCGGTGGATTATTCGCTCTTAAGAGCCACTTTCTGTAAATACCATGGATAGATGTGCAAGATGGAAAAATCGAAATCTCCCAAACTTTGCCACATGTAAGCCCTTATGAAACTTGTTTAGAAAATGCAAGATTCAGTTTCTCGCGATATATATTTTCCCAAAAAATAATTTTTTTGAATTTTCACCTCCGAGAGGCACTTAAACCACCGAAAAATGTGCTTCGCATCCTCGCGTGATGAAAAGAAACGGAATCAAATACCATGACTATTGAGAGATTAGATGATTTTATGACCCTTCCTTTCTATGAAAACGTTGTTGCAATTTCAAAAGATTCCAATCTGAATTTTTAATTTTTTTTTCAAAATTACCCTCTAAAACAGTTTCATTGCGACCATCAATTTTGCCATTTTTCAATGGCAAAAAACACTTCCTGGTACATGGCTTTCGTTGTGCAAATGCTATTCCAGAGAAAGAGCAATCCTTTTTATTTTAATTTATGAAACAAAATTTTGGGGCAACTCAAACGGCAAGTTTTGAGAACTGAAAACATCAACGGTACTTGCGTGAAATTTACAAATTTGAACTTGCGGTTGCAATGACGAATACAAGCAATGACAAGAGTGAACTTGGACAGCAGTTCAAATACTTTGAGAATTCGATCTTTTACCACTAGTTAAAAAACTAAACAAACGATTATGACTTCGTAGTGGCAATTATCTGAAAGGAAAAGCATTTTTATTGGGCGAGTTGAGCTGTAAACCTCTTGACAACTCTTCCCGTACTTGCCCATTTGTTTACTTTGAAGCCTGAATTGTACCAGTTATCTAAATATGAAAAGTATTCATCAAAATGTTCGCATTTCGTCTAAAAGAAATCGTACAAGCAATGATCGAAGAATAGGACAAACATTTACTCACCTCATATACATATATTGTTGAAAAAAGACCAAAAGCTAAGCTAGATTGCGTGACATACTCTTTGACTACACCCAGGTAGCAAGGTGGG